TGAATATGGCTGCTCTTTCTGCCTAGCCTTTGAAGAGTTGTTGGGCCATTCCAGTAGGAGAGTCCAAAATGCAGAGCCAACATGGTAGCAGCAACTGCCTCAGAATTTCTGGTCTTAGCTCAGTGTCAGGCTCTGAGATCCCCAAACCCAGAGACCAGTAGGTAAATTACCGTTTACACTGAGGGGCCAGCTGGGTAGATGGGTGTCAGCCGAATAAGCATAAATGCAGGCGACTTCCAGGAGGTTCCGTCTTGCACTCCACCTGGTCCCAGCTTAGGAGCCCTCGAAGCCTCCGCGCTGGGCCGGATGCTCCTGCAGATAAACCCGGCCGCCACGTCCCGCCCTGGCTGCTTATTTAGCAAGGCGCCTCCAGCTCATATTTTACTCGTCTAGGGACAGTGAGCCGGAACCACGGGGAGAGGGGCGGAGAACCACCAACGGACCCAGCACGCCGGCCTTCTGCCCCAGCCATTTTGGGTCCAGCTTAACTCCTCCACTCCCGCGGGACCCCTGCGGAGACACACCACCCCGGGAACTGGAGGTATCTGGAAGGCCCTGCCAGCCCCTCGCTCAGGGAAAGAAGGGAGTACAGCCCAGCAACTGGAAACGCGACTCTGATCTGTCTCTAAATATTTCTGAGGCCCCCACCAAGTTGGGAGCAGAGGAGAGTGGGTGGTTGCCTTGGGAAGGTCGCAGCCAGGAGCAAAGCTGGGGGCTGGCGCAGGGCTGGAGAGTTCAAAAGGCCTAATCCACGGCACTTTTATCTGCTCCCATTCCCCCTCCAGGCCCACTCTGCTCTGCCTTCGACCCCGCCTCCCAGCCCCTCATCCCTGCGTCTCCAGTGCGTTAGCAGCCGCGCAGCCCCCGGCCGCAGCGAGTGCGATGGAGGGAGGGGCGGGGGGAGGGAGGGGGTTGTGTTGCGAGGCCTGACAGAACCTTCTGTGTGCGGCGGAGGGAGGAGGCTAATGCATAATGCACAGCGCCTGGAAGCCCGGCCATTAGCGGCCTGTCGGTGACACAGACAAACGACTAAGAGGGAGGAGATCCAGCTCGCTCTGGAGTTTAAATATACCAGCGTGGAGGGGAAACGCCATGATTTAAAAGTGTGTTCGCAGACACTTGCATATATTTTAATGATTTCCAGCAGGCCATGCGTCCCAGCCTTACATCCCTCTCCCCAAAAGGGGGATATGTGTGTGGGGGGGGGGCAGAGTGAGAGGCCTCAACATGAGACCCACCGCCAGCTTTCACGAGATGAAGGGAAGGGGAGGTTGGGAAACCTAGCGAGAAAGCGAGGCCTAGGGAAGCCACAGGACCCAAGGCCATCCCCAGAAATCTGGTCATTGAGCCTTCCACCCCAGACTGGCCCCTCTACACTGTGCTAGAAAAAGCCTGGGGGAAAGGAAAGAATAAATCTTGCCATCCTTGCTTCCCCCAGGCGCCCACATTTTTGAATTTTCCTTTTCCACTGACGATTCAGAGACCTTCCTCCCGGTTTAACACGCCAGTGTTTTTTAGCAATTAAGGCGAGAAGGGGGTGGGGATGAAGATAAGCCAATTTTTTTTTCCGCCATGCAAGTGTGAAAGATAAGATAACATTAAGCTGGGGCAAAGCGGCTGCTTACAACCTCCCCTCAGCGATTTTGATCGGTCACTTCTTATCTCGCCCAAATGCTCCTTTCGAAAACTGCATCAAAAAAAAAAATAAAAAAAAAAAAAGAAAGAAAGAAAAGAAAAATGAAAGAAAAAAGAAACAAAAAAGGCAGAAGGGAAGTATTTTCATTTGGAAGTGACATTTAAAACCCATCTCCTCTACTTCAGCAACTGCCTCCCTCCCCCAATCCCGGGCTTTCCAGGAAAAGTTGCACCTCGACTCCCGGGTTTCAGGCTTTCTCGTGGGGGGCAGGATTACTAGTGTAATTAGGATGAATAAAACCAGGGATGCATGATGAGCATTTATCCTGCATCCAGCCCCAAACTCGCAGACGGGTTTTTCTGCTCTTAGTTACTGATCGGTGTTTGTGTTTCACCATATCGCTCGAGTGTTGAAACTAAACAGGTAGTTATATTCGGAAGAGTCGTATAACTATGTCAACACGAAGTGGTTGTTAATGCAAAATAATAAGAAACTACTGATTTTTACAGGCCCCTGGAAGAGGAGAAGGCATCACACGTCTCAGAACCTGCTAACTCTCAGCCGAACTGGACTCTCGGGGAGTTTTATAAAAATCATTCTTTCCACACAAAAATCTCACGAAGGGGTTTCTGGTCGTTTGTATTGAAGGAGGTTTCGGTATAGAACTCTAGGCCCGCAAGGCGGCCTGTAAATTCCCCCCAGCCCAGCGGCTGGCCCCAGATCGGAAACATCAAGGCAGGCGACCCAGGCCGAGTTGATGAGCCTCTGCACGAACCTCCGGCTCAGAGCTCCGAAGCGCCCACTTCCTCACTCTCCATCCCGAGTTCCCACCTTGGCGCCGGGCGCACACCGATTCTACCCCCTCTGGGTCGGGTTGTACGACCTAAAGCCCGGGGCCAGCCGCGGCCGCCGGATTGTCCCCGGGGAGCCAAAACCGCCGAGCGGGGAAACCCCTCCTCTTGCCCTTCCCCGAAGAGCCTGACCGCGGCGTAGGCGCCGAGCGAGCGGGCATCCGCTGACAGCCGGGCCTCACGTAAGGCCCACAAGCGACCCATTAGTCAGCCTGAGTTCCCCTCAGGCG